TTGTTTTACCTTGAAGATCTGAGTTCGCTTCACTCGTGAGAAAGTTTATTTTGTCGACCATCTCTCGGCCTTTCTTTTGGAATAGCGCTCAGTACCGGTTTGCCGTTGTAGGCAGCGTTTTAGCAGCCTGCCTCCTGAATGGCCCAAAAGGTGTCAACCGAAATGTAAACCATTTACAATCACTAGCAATCATAACCATTTTGCCAATTTCTTTGTGTGAGAACATTTAGCAGCTAGGATTTTTTTCTCATTCACAAAGCAGCCTGAAAAATTTCCTTTAAAATTAAGCTCAAATTGACGCTTAAGTAAACTGGACAATCCAGATAAAAGATGGACAAAGAGAACACATAGCTCAGTAAAACGCGGTGGCCTCAAAACTGACAAAGGATTTGCTCGGGAAGCTGTCAGCATCCTGCTCCTTGCATCTTCTCTGTTTTTCCAATTCAAATGGACCGGGTGAACGTATGCCAGTTAAAGCAGAATTTCTGAGCAGACGACGAAATTGTTCTTAATGCCCTTGTGACAGGCAAGCAATGCTGAGATTTCGCGGGTGGCGATGACAAGTGACAGGAAAAGGGCGGGGTTGGACGGTTGGGAGGGGGGTGGGTGGGATGAGGGAATAAGATGATGGGAGCGCTCGTCCATGGGCCCGTCTTCTGCCCAAACCATCTGCGCTGAAAGGATCCGCGTCTCCGGTTTACAACTTCTTCATGGCGTTTACTCACGTTATCCCAGTCCTCAGTGTTATCTTTCTCATTTCCAAGCACTTTGCCTCTGTCTCAGTACATCTCGCGCGCTTTCTTTACTTCTGTTTTCTCTTCTACATTTTCATTGATTTTTGCTCATCCTTTTACCCCACTCCCCCATCCCCTCCCTCTCGGATACACTCGAAGTTCCATTTTGTGTTTTTGAAGACATTTATAAAAGAGGAGGTGCGGTGGGTACGGGGCATTTGGGACAAGTGCTCAGACTGTTTGAAGTGTTGTGCTGAGCTGTTCACGGGCCATGAAAAAAGTGTTCCCACCCATTTGTTCTGGCAATCGATTACCCCCCCCCCCCCCAAACGGGAATCGAACTGTTTTCTTCTGTGTGCGAGGGAAGAAAGCTTTACTGCTACATCGCAGATGCCGGTTTTATCAATATAGTTGAGGGGTGGGGGAGTATCTATAAACTCACATTTTTACACTCATCCCATCGACACAGTTTAGTCAGTTTAGGAGACGGGCTTCGGGAGACAAACCGGGCTTTGGTACATCGTCAGAGAAAAAAACAACAACCCTGATATACTCCACCAAAAAAATCTCCACACACGGGAATGTAACTCGGATCTTCTGCGTGCCACGAAGAATCTCCTGCTGCAACGCACCTGTCTGAACGTCCGTGGCACTATGACTTTCAATTCTATTTTAGATGGGAATTACCCAAAGCAAATTGTGACCAGCTCTACACAGTCTATTGTGGTCACATCCTGGATCTGTGCCATTGCATTTAAGAACAAACCAGCAGTTAGCAATCTGGCTGTCACTGACAAAGATATTTCTGACCGCCATCTACTTGTCTTTAGCTCGACTGTCCTATATACCACAACGAGTTTTGTGGTCAGGACATACGAAAACCTTAGATGCCACGTCGTTTACCTGGGATTAGACCGTTTGTGATCGGATGTTGCAGCTGTTCCTTTTCTTTGTTATAATGTAGATGTTTTTACCTCCACATCGACACAATTTAGATACGGGCTTTGTCCCTGTCTGTCAGGTCATCTAAGGCTGAGAGGGAAACAACATACGGGTAGAAAAACGCTCGAAAAAATATTTCACCGCGCAGGAATCGAATTAGTGTATTCTGAGTGCCACGGCAGAGTCCCTATCCGCTGCACTGCAGACACCGGTATCATCTACCTGCCTTTTACCAAGCTATCCAAAAACACTAACGACCGAAAATGGGGATTGTTTGTGGGTGCTCTGGTGCGGTTTGTTCTTTTTTTTCTATCAAACAGTTGTCCTAATCTGTACTCCTTTTTTTGTGTGTGCTACTCTTTTATAACACTTTTAATCTTCGGCACTTTCATGTCTATATTATGTTGCAAGCGCCGTTGTTACTGCTGTCGCTATTTGAGTTGGTTCCGCACTCACGTGGTCAGCAAGTGAGACGAATCTACTTCCACTGAACAAAGTTAGTTTCAGAGTCCGCCGACACAACACGAGGCTGACTGGGGTAGGAACAAAGTGAACGAAGAGAGAAAGATATTTCTTATATTATTCTTATACGTCTTACTAAGTCACAAATCCAAAGCAACAAGAATCTGAACTTTTAATCAACTGAAAATGTTTAAGGTGTCCCGCACGCCCATATATGACCTTATGCAGTTGCGAGCGCCACAAAACACTTAGATCTAC